TCGGTGCTGCCATCTAGTGTGGCAGAAACTAGACGTCCAAATTAACATGACCAACGGTATGTCACCCATTGTGGTGGTCCTGAAAGAGTGGATACCACCTCTGGAGAACGCACTAGGTCTGCTCATCGGGAAAAACTGATTGTGCAGCTCATTAGAGATTAAAAAAATTCTTAATTATTCAGATTAGATAATTTTTACTAAACCTATGACTATCAAAAGTTCCGCATGAGGTCAAATATTTATTTATTTATAACCAAACATCATTTTTCAAAACAAAAAAATAAAATAATGTTTATATTTTACTAAAGGTAATCATTTTTAAATATTGTAAAGAGATTTACATATATTATACACTTTTTAGCAACCTTATGACAATCAAAATATTTTCCAAAAGGTCAATTTTTGTCTCAGCATTTTTTTTTTCTTTGTTAAGAAAAATACGATCATAAAGAGTTTACTTTTCATGAAGAGCTTACTTTTCAGATTTTTCTTTGCACCGTAGAAAAAAACTTATCTTTCTTTTTCAGTCTTCATGTGATGTGGAAGCCATAAATGGTACTAAAGAGCAAAATCCTTTTAGTGATAATGCGCAAATAATTACTCTGGGCCATTGAAACGGTATTTTCTTCTGTTATCTAAAAGCTCAGTAAAAGATTATTTGTACCTATTCTTTTATGTTAGATATTTTTTATTATTTCTAATTTTTTCTACATAAAGACACCAGCTTATTGAGTTTCAATCTTAGAAAAATCATTTAGAAACCTTGCCTCATTTAATTAAAAAAAAACACTTATATATAAAACAATATATTTTATTACTATTTTTAAAAACAAATATAAGGAATAGTAATTTTTTAATTTAATTAATAGTTATTAAAATATGTTTTTTTAACAAAAATAGTTAATAAGCTAATCCATAACTGAGATCAGATAGAGAAATTAATTTTAATTTTATTAAAATGTTATCGCTTCTCTTAATTTTTTATTTTTTGTATAAAAGAATTATATTTTTGAAAAAATAACAAAATGATTTTATGATAATACGCATTCCTACCCCTTTTCTGCAGTGCATAGAATTCCAAATCAAATAACAATATAAAGTACCGGCACTTTAGGTACATTTTACCGTAAAATCCATTTCGACTGTAAAATATTTCACCGTACTTTTTACATATTTATTTAATTAGGGTGATTTTGCGCTATTTATTACTGTAAAAATTACGGTATATCAGAGTTTTTGCTCCATAACATGTTTCGGTTATAATGGATTTTACGGTAATAAGCACCGGCACTCAGGATACCGGTACTTTATACCGTAATTTGATCCGGTGTATGCACTCTAATAATGCACAATTTTCAGACTTAGATCCAGATTGCAGTACTCTTAAACTTCATGATATGGCTTGCATTAATCTTATTAAAGAAAAACTATAAGCAAAGTAAATCTACTATAGTCTAAAAATTGAGAAACGAAATATTTGATTTTAGATTGCAGCCCATTTATTCAAATTCGGTTTCATGACGGATGCTTTTTTAATTTCTGTCCAAATCCACAGCTTCTTCACATATATTTACTTTATTCCGTTACACCTCTCTTCATTTCCTTTCTTTCTACCTTTTATACCTCCACTAATTCCTTTCTAACCGCCTTTCTTTCCATGCATCATTCAAATTTCCTAATGGTTTCCCATTCTTTCCTGCTATTCCTCCGATTTGTTTCTGCTCTTGTCAGCTTCCCGTTCTTCTGATTTTCTTTTCCTTTTTCTGCCTTCTTTTCTTCATCAAAAATATGTACCTTCTTTCATTTGTTCGTAGGGGAGAGTGGGGTCAATTGTAACAGGGTACGATTGTAACAGAGCAAACATTTCGAGTGTCGGGTCCTAGATTTGGTTCCTAGGTGGCGCACAAGGTGTATTAATAAGTCTGCATGTACACCCCTACTGGCAACCATTTTTATGTACTTTTGAAAGAGTTGCATCACAACAGATATTTTCACGCTACGTAAGTACTTTTTTTGGTATTAGAATATTATATTGTAACAAAGTAATTTTGTTTAAACAAATAAAAATTATTAACCGAATATGTAAGTGGACACCTTAATTAACATTTAAAAAAAAAGTAGTTCTGTTAATTCACTAGCATTGTTTTTAACAAATGAAGCTGAAATGGCGTCTTGGGGACGATTGTAACAATAAGTAAAGGGACGATTGGAGCAGCTGGAAAAAAATAATCTTATGTTTACAAACCATTACTTAACTCTTTAAGAACCACCAATAGTTTCCTATATCATTTATATTATGTTGCATGCGTATTATTTTATTTGTCACCATTCACAGCATAAAATAAATATCACTACTAATTTGATCAATAAAGAAATATATCACAACTATGATAATATGTATAATTAACTATGTTTTAGTTGAATTTATGAACTGTTACAATTGACCCCGTAAGTGGGGACAATTGTAACAAGTGCACGACTGTCAAAAATTTTTAATAACTAATATAATAACATTTAAAATAAGGTTCTTTTTCTAGTAGAGGATACTCTACTTCACTCGTCTGTCAATTAATACTTATAATAATATATTGGATTTTTTTTTAGTTAAAAATAGTTAAGTAAAAATTTTTTAAATTGACACCACTCCCCCCTACATTCTTTCCTTTCAGCATCTAGATCACGGGTTTTGCCTTCTCTAAGTAAACACAGGTCTCAAATTTAAAAATTCAATAGAAGTTTTTCTTAAGAAATTTTTTTTATCATGCTTAGTTTGCTGCGCCATTTTATCATTATATATGCTATAAATTATGTTTGAAACAATTTAGCGAATTCCAGCTCGCACACCATTTAACTCTATACTAAAACTCATTTATACTACTATGCTTGTTTGCGCATTTACACACCTCCCAAATGCCCGGAGAGGGGAACTTTCTAATTACATAATCATTTACACGTTCAACGTTAATTTGCTCTTCTGAAGTTCGATATTAAACTGATGTTACTTTCCTCATATTTTGTAAATGTATGCAAGCAATAAATAAGTAAAAGAAAAATCTTGATAAGTGAGAAAATTATATATTATACTAATAATAAAAATTTGAGCATCGGTAGTTCTTTACGGCACAAACTTTGTGAAAGTAGCTAACCTTCTTAGATTTGGAATAATTAATAATTTATAAATTTATTTACTTTACTTAATTTTCGAAGTTAAATTTTATATTCTGTTTATTGACGAGAAATATTTTATACGATAATTAAAGTTTCATATTATTTTTACCAGAGTTTTTGATATTAATTTTCAATATTTTTATGCAAATATGCGAATCAATGCCCCCTTGGCAAATATCCAGTTACAACTAAATATTTAGATAATAATTATTAAGAAAATACTTCTGAAGAGTACATTAATATTAAGAGTCCCGCAGTGGACTGGTCGTAAAGACACTGTTCCCAATCGAACACCGAAGTCAAGCATCACTGGCTGCGGTCAGTAAGCGGGTGGGTGACCACGTTGATCAGCATGCGTAGCTACCGAGGTTCGCTGTATCAGTCCTCGTTACCACCTTTATCTCGTTACCACCAATACCAATACCTCGTTACCAGCAATATTGGTGGCTACCCTCGTTACCACCAATAGAACACCGAAGTCAAGCATCACTAGCTGCTGTCAGTAAGCGGGTGGGTGACCACTTTGATCAGCATGAGTAGCGACCGAGGTGGCGCTGTATCGGTCCTCGTTAAACTGTTCTATCATGAAGTGCTTGACTTCCGCACTGGTTGTTGGGCTACCAAAGCAGGGGAGTCATCCCCTTTGCAGAATATTGAAACTGGGATGGCATGTCTTCGGATTATCCTCAGGGATATTTCCCTGGCCGTCGTCAATAGCCCATTGTGCAGCTCTAGTGAGACGTAAATAAAGTACCTACCCACATTAATACTTAGAATGAATCACATATTATATATCACTCATCAAATTAGCAGCAGTAAGTGAAAAATGGAAACTGAAATTCTGCAACATTTAGTTTATTTCTCTGCTGGTAGATGCTATAAATATTCTCTATATTTGTTTTTCCAGAAAAATGCCATTGAGATTTTAATTTTCTTCCAATAAAACTTCTTTCCAACAATATAATATCAAAGAGTGTTTTTTTTAAAAAAAAGAAACCATTACTGTAAATTTTAGTGCTTGAAAACCTACTACGCATTTGCATTTGTTCTAAGTCTGATTAAATTTCATCAACATAAAGATGAAATGGAAATGAGAGAGTGAATTGTTCACTTTTTTCTGAATTAATGATCTCCTCAATATTTCAGAAAAGGCACGCATCAACATAATATCCTTTCTAAAAGTTTAATCATCCCAGAGAGATAATTTTGGCTTTCGAAAACAAACAGTTTTTTACCTACTTATTTATTTTTACTTTTAGACAGATAATTTATTTGCGAAGAAACAAAGTAGGAAATATTTTGTAAACATATATTTTGTTATTTAAACATTAATGAAAAATCCTTCCTCTTTGGATAACTAATAATTTCGAATACTTTTTCACCTTATGCACCCCTTTAATAATTTCTACCATCCCTAGCCCCTGTTTCCCCAATACTAATTCTCGATCTCGATTTGAATTTCTCCGAAATCTGGACATCATTTTTGAAATGCATTTAACAATAAGTCAGAAAACATAAGTCATTACTATTTTCAACTATTTCTACGATTTACTACTTAAAAATATTTATTTTTAGTTAACTTTTTTAGTCACTTCAATGTTTTTTCAAGTATTTCCACCTCCTATCTTAAAAATGAAACTTCATATCATAAAAAATTTCTTCTGGTTGCAAATTTCTGAAATGAATTATTTCAATACACAAGTGGGTTAAACTCAAAACGGTTATGTTTTGAGTTTATGTCATTTGAGAATAATTATGAGTGTATAATTTTCTAATGACGATTAATATATAAATAAAAAAAGAAACATATATTTAATATCTTTTTTTTTAATATTCGAAAGTACAAAACAAGAATTTCTAAGCATGTTCAAAAAAATTTCTTTTACAAAGAAGCGTTCAGAAAGTTAATCTAAGAACCTGATGCTAATTTTCTCCTCAATTACAGATGAATAATATTTTCGGTGTCATTTACCATTTTAAAGTCCATTCTATTCTAATAAAGTAATACTTTAAACACTTACTTGCGATGAATTTGGCGTACTTACTAATAACTCGAAGTTTAATTTCTCTGGAGACTCGACATCCTTATTTTCAGAATAGGCGCTTGTATAATCATTCAAGCTTAATGTCTCTTTCTTAGTTTTTTCTTCGTCATTTTTGCAGTTTATTCCAGAATATGGCTTAGATTCCTTTTTCCACAAACGAGAGAAAAACCCTTTTCTATTGCGTTTTTGTAAAATCGGCGTTATCGATCTGGGTTCAGAACATTTTTGGTCCATGATGGGCGATACAGTTTCAGCCTTGATGAGCTGTTCCTTTGACACCGTAGTTGTTATAGGACGACGGTGCTTAGATGATGTACCAATTCTAGTTCTAGGAAAGTTTTTAATAGGCAATGTAGCACTTTTGTTTTCTAATTTTATTCTTTCGAAGGTTCCAAGTCTTGGGAATCTTTTTTGGCTTCTCGGCGAACTTGAGTAAGATGATCCCACTTCAGTTTGAACGAATCTATCCATTCTTTCTGGACTTCCAGACATTACTTTCAGACTAGAATCGGATTCAAAGATTTCAGAAGATCCTTCTATTTTCATAGCCGGTGTGATGTTTTGAACAGAATCGATGTTCGATTCAGTACCAGAGTTATTTTCTTCCACGCAATCGATGTAAGGTATGGCTTCTTTAATATCGTTACCAAATGACTTGGATCTCGATATTGATGCTCTTCTAACAGCCAGGACTTTTTCTTCTGGCTTTCCATCGTCCAGAGATATCTGGCTCGTTTCCTTCTCCAGTTTAAAAGATATTTCTTTTTCTCTTAATCTAGATTTCAACGATGGATTTCCTCTCATAGTATTTTTGTAAATTTCCACAGAGTAAAACTGATTTCTTTGAAAACTTGCTGGCATTGAAAGTTGACTTTGGGTGGTGGCGAAAGATGACTCACTGTGTCTTAAATTAGTTTTTGGCAATAAACTCTGAAATAAAATAATTCACCTTAGTAAATAAATACAAATGCAATCATGAAACTTTAATTTTAGAAAATTTGGACCATGTTAGTCCACACACGGAAGAAAAATTCTGGTAAAATTACCGTAATATATGGTCATGATATTTCTCGTAATTCTAATTAATAAAATTAATATGGTAATAATGTTACTTTATGACAATTGCACTTCTCATAATTTTGGTTAATAAAAGCAAAATCTATGGCATTTAAGCCATTCGTTTGGTAATTTTTCCATACATATGGTAACTTTTTAATAGAAATTCTAGTTTTATTACCACACATTTAGTAAGACGCACGAAACTGAAAAATAAATCCAACCAAATAAATAGTTTTTAAGCTACGCTTTAAGGTATTATGATAAAATTACCAAATTTTACTACAATTACCAAATTGCATCACATATTTTAAAACCATATATTGTTAATTTTACCAAATTCATTACCAAAGTGCTTCGGTTGAAACTGCCGAGATTTTCGGTATTTCCATAGAGCCAGAAGCGTGAAAATATTAGTACATTGTACAATATTATAATAGTTTTGACCCTACCTTTTCTCATTGTGTGATATCGTTCAATTTTTCAATTGAAGTATAACCATATTAGAACCAAATTATTGTGAATATTCATCCTTTTTAAACCTAATTAGACGATAGAATGACTTAACTTGAATAAAAATACGTTTTAATTTGTCACGTTTTTTTTTTAAATTAAAGCAAGTTTTTACGGTATTATGGTTAAAAGGTTGATATCGTGGTTGAAAATTAAATAATAATAATAATATTTTGAAATTTAATCTAAAAAATTCTTTATAATTACTTTCAAAAATGTTTAAATCTATTTAAAACGAAATCATTGTCTACATTTACATGATATATATTTTAACTTATGTTTGGCTATCTCAATTGAAAACAAGTATTAAATAATAAGAAAATTTTATTATACGGTGCAATACAAAGCATCCCATTAATAATTCAGAATATTTCTAATCCCTCAGGAGCAAAATATAACATATGCTTACTTTTGGAAATGTCTCTACGATGCTAAAAAGTAGTAGTTAAAATATTTAGTGTTAGATTATAAATAAAAGTTAATGTTATAGGGGGAAGTGTAACTGTCAATTGGACACATTAGGAAGTAAATAAAAGTTTTCTCCAGAAGTTTAAGCGAAGTTTAAATCGTCAAAAACTGACTCACGATCGTATTTAACACCTTAAAAATTGGGTCCGAGTGTAAGATAATTCCATAATTATAATCATAGATACCAGAGCCGTGATGGCTNCAAAAAAATACGCTTTATATTTCATTTAATGCAGAAGAATCTAATGAAGATCAGCTTATTTGAAACTCTGAAATGTCACACCCATATGTAACTTGGTGAATGATAGATACGTGATACCAAAAACAAAACAAAAACATAAGCACACAGCTGTTTGGCGATTTGCGAGACGCTCCTTCAACGCCGATAGAAATTTTCGCCAACCCTTTTATAATCTACAGTATGTTTTGTCAATATGCGAACCGGGTTTGAATCCCAGCGATGGCTCGTCGATGCGAATTCCGCAGCGAATTGCAACGAACACAGTGCTGACTTGAAATATCCTTAGTGATAGGCGTATCATAGGTAAGAGTCCCCTTGCCATTAGGCTAACCGTGGGAGGTTTATGTGGTTTCCCTCTCCGTGTAACGCAAATGCGGGTCAGTTCCATCAAAAAGTTCTCCGCGAATGCAAATTTCTCCCAATACTTGATCTGGGAATTCCCTTGTCTTCTGGATTAGGTTTAAAATTACAAGGCTACATTAGAACGATATTCATTACTAGTCGTAAACCCAAAAAATTGGGTCGGCTGTTCAACGCTGGTTATAAAACACATAGGAACCAGAATTTTTCCTTCGACAATTTCTACTTTTAACTCTTAAAAGTTATAATTTACACTTATTTTAATTTAAGATATTTCTTTAAAAAAATTATATATTAAGAGTAAAAATGAAACATTTTGCAACTGTCACAAATAAAAAAATACACATTTTTCAAAACATTTCGTGAAACAATTTTCTTCATACTTTAAAAGGATCAAATACTATAGTTTACATAATAATCAAATTAGAATTCGCTAAAATATTTCATAAGTAAATTTCAAAAAAAAATTATGCCCATTGAAATTTTCGTTACAAGAAATTGAGAACGACAAATCGCAATTTTTATGAATATCATAACTACTTTTACACATTTAGGTCAAAAATTCTCCAAAAATTAATTTTAGAAAAATAGAAAGCTTGTGATTATATCAAAACAACACCGGTTTTTAGCTGTTAGTTTAGCATTTATATAGGATGAGCAAAATAGTTTTTTTATGTGCTACAGTTATTTTGTATACTAAAAGTATTCAAAAAAAGTTTTCCTTCAGGAAATATTACAGAAGTAATTAGAAATAACTATCTATCCTAAAGACACTTTAAAAATTTTAAAATATTCTTTTTATTTTCAATATTCTATAACACATTACAAAATGCTAAAAAAATAATAGAAAAAAAGACTTGCTAATATAAGCACCACATTCTGAGTTCTGTGAATGATAAAAACTTACTTTTAACCCTAAAGGTGGTTTTATGTGTACAAAACTTGGTTTCTTGCCTTGATTTAAAGCTTCTGTACTGTGAAGTGACAGTTGATTAGTAATAATCGTCTGCCACAGGAGCTTAATCCCGAAAGAAGGAGCTCTCAAAATCCACGTAATCCATTGATTACGTTGACCTGCTGACTTATGAGGATTCTGTAAAACAAAATGTAACTAAATTTATAATAATGTACACATATCAAATGTCTTTTAATAGGTCAATGATTTAAAAGTACAAGAAGTAAGAACTGCACGGTTTTAGGCGTTCTGCTTAGGAAATGAGTTATTTATTTTTTCCACGTATAAATGCTAAATAAAAATTTTACCTACACTTGGTGCTATTAACTGAAAAAAGCTACGAATTTTTTTTTAAATATTTCTTGTGTGCATCAATAACATGATTTAGTCTGAGAATAAAGTTACACATGTTTTAATGTTTTGGTTGAAGCAGTCTAACATACAACAAAAGTTATTGTTCATACCTTTTTAGTACCCTAAGCCAATTATTGAAAACTTGCAACAAATCATAAAACTTGGAGAGCAAAAACTATCTTGTTTCTTAAGCAAAATGCAGCCACCAATTAATTTAAGTCTCCTTCCGATATTCTTTAATTAATTTTTCAATTCATCAGTAATATTTAATAACCCCATATAAAAAATTTTAAACATCATTTTTGAAAAAAAAAATTTTCTTGGGAAAATATTGCATTTTATTGTTCTTCAATAGTATAAAATCAGTTTATTGTTCCAAACCTTTATGTTCTGTAGATCTCAAGGGATTAATGCAGTAAGTGACAAACTTTGAGTATTTCTGCTGTAAATTAAGTTTCTTCTTCATTTGAAAGCAAACAGTTGTTGAGTGGAAGATAACCTCTCTTTAACAAAGAAAAAGCAAGATTTCAAACGCTATGAAGTGAACAGTTTAAGTGACGGTTGCGGATATAGTGATTTCACAGACTAGAAGCTTCCGAACAACGAAGAAAAACACAATTTTTTTCTTTGATTTTCAAATTATGAAAGCTTAGAAAAATGTAACCTTTATTCACTTCCCTCTTTAATTGAGAAAATAGTTTAAACTACCACAATCAAACTTTCAGAAATACTGCTGCACTACGTATTACAACATACAAAGACTATTAATGCTGTGCATCCCCATTTTAGTAGTACTGTTAAATAAAAATAATAAAATAATCATTTTTATACATTGTACACTAATCGTAACAGTATATATCAAATTTTACTATACATTGAAAATACTGTTTTACCTCTTTGGGCTTTTTAATTTACTAAAAATTGCTTCAATATGTCTAAACAACTTCTTATGTTTTCCTTAAGGTTTATCAGCATAATATACAATTTTTGATGCCTCAAGTAAAAGTTCATTTTATAGTAAGAAAACTGGCATGAACTTCAATTCAAATTCATTACATTAAGTGATGGAAATTTTTTTTTACTCTGGCCTTAATGAGGACTTAAGAGATAATACATAAAAATTTATATCTTTTTTCAAATTTTTTAATTGTAATCATTCTTAAATTAACGAGCATAAGAAATCAAATTTCAATTCTTTTTTTCCCTATTGTATATCTTAAAATGAAGAATAAATATTTGGTCCAAGCATTTTTTTTTTGTGAGTGTAATAATTATGTCTGTGAAAAAGATTTTAAAAATATAATTTCTAACTATTATTTTTTTAATAATTCCTAATATTTTTTTAATATTTTCTTTTTATTTGTGATTCGATAAAATATTTTTTATTAATTTTATTAATCATTAAAAGATTCGAATTATCAAACTATAGAACTTTATAAATTTATGAGGGAAGAGAATTGAGAATTTTACATTTTAACAACATCAAATAATTGAAGAATGTAAAAATATTTTAATTGTTTTTCCCATTATTATTGTGCTAATGTCAATACAAATTCGAAAATTATTTTATTTATTTACATATTTTTTAAATATTTAACGTCTTTTTATTTCCTCGTTCAATTAAATGAATAATTTTTTATCATGTTATGCACATTACTGATTCGTCAGATTTTGGTTACGTGATTTTGACGGTTATTAATTTGTTTATTAACAAACGTTTATAAACAAATATATTTTACTTAATTTTGACATAATTCCCAAAAATATATAATCTATAGGATGGTTATTAAAAAACATCATGCGTGTATTATCTCATGCTATGTTAAAACTTCTTCAACGCCCTATGTCTTTAATTCATAATCGTTCCATCATACATAATTTATAAAATAATCCCATGAACATCACGTTCATATCACGAATCAATTAATTAATAGCGTCTATTACTACAGACATAACCCATCACACAGATTCGAGTTCACTGACCAGTCATAGTTCAAGGGTTATCTGGAAAAGGACACACACAGGAGTTGCCCAACCATTTGGATACAACTCGCTAAACTATAATAGACGTGCTAAAATGATTTTGGTAATTACTGATGTAGTTCAATGTTTGCTTTGATGAGATTCTGATTATCCTCCTATCCCAGAAACCACTGCTCCAGCTTTTCTATGAATGACAAGTATGGAGTCTGTTAGACAAATCGTTCAGCTTGTAAGGACTGTTGTGTGTATGTTACGCTAACATTTGTAAATGAACTCCAAATATGCACTTGAGTTAATTGTTAATTGAAGAATCTGATAATGCTTGGAATCATGATAGGTTTACACTGGAATTCTGCAGTTACGTTCGCAAAGTAAATGAAGTCAATTTAGGTGCGTAAATCGAGTTTTATTTGGTTCAAAATAGCATAGTTAATGAAAGATAATTGATTGGTAATATTCTCTCATATTAAATTTTCATTAATCTGCAGTTTTGACAGTGAATAATTTATTTAATCAAAATTTTTGATTTTAAGCAAAATCAATACAAACTTAGCCAGTGCTAAGCTCTGCATTTCAATAACTTTTCTTATCATAAATTTTAAAATACGTAAATAAAAACAGTTTTCTTTTTTCACTTATTGTAAAGATATTTAATATATTTTACTGCTTATTTACTTTATGAAAAAATTATAAAAACAATGTAAATACGTTAATGAGCAATTCTACAAATAAATGCCAGGCGGCCAAATAAAAATAACTTTAGGGGGGGGGTCACGCTATTTCTACATGAATTTTCTTCTTTTTTACACCCTAAAAAAGCAAGAAAAAATCGTGAAAATCAAATTTTTTCTTTCTGACATACTGTAAATGACAAAACACCAATAAATCAGATAAATCTGAGCCATTTATTTAGATAAAACGATTTTTACGTAAATATAATATTATTATAATGTCTCTCTAAAATGTATTAATGGAGATTTCATACCATAAGATCATATTTTAGTATAAAAGACAGAAATAAAAAAATTTAGTCAAATTCGTCAATTGAAAAAATTGGGAAAAATTTAAAATTGGTATTTCGTCATTTAAAGTATGTCACAAAGAAAAAATTTCATGTTCACGATTTTTTCTTGCTTTTTTAGGGTGTGAAAAAGAAGAAAATTCATGTAGAAATAGCGTGCCCCCCGCCCCCAAAAAAAAACAAATTTTTTTTGGCCTCCTTATTGGCGTTTATTTGTAGAATTGCGCTAATATGTAATATAAGTATGTGCATGTAGCATTCTAAAAATATTGGAAATATGTAAAATATTTTATAACAAATGTTAAATGTCAATGTATCAAAAGGCACCAAAATTACAGGAAAGGAGATATATTTTCATTCAATATTTCATTAACAATAATTCGAGATTTAGTTAAAGTTACTAATGGCTTTAAATTTTTTTTATACTAAAGGATCAAGAGCTTATTTTCTATGCGCGTGTTATGAAGTGAAAATCTAAAATTACGAAAGAAAAAAAATTTTGATGCATTATTTTCAACACGATGCTCAAGCACCAATTTTTATTCATAAATTTAAACAATAAGAAAACTTTTGAAAAAATATTTGTTTCAAATGAAATAATATTTTTTCAATATAATTTTTTTTATTCAGAAAGACTATAGATGGCACTTATTAAAGCCGCATAGATGAAAATATAAAAAAACGAAGCATATATATATATATATATATANAATCTTTTACACAATTAATGGGTGTGCTGTTTGTCCTTTTTATTATGAATAAGCTTGTTTGTTTGATTTTACTTGATTATCAAGATAAAAAAAAATTTTAATTATGTCAAAAAGAATGTTGTCAAGAAATATCAAAAAAATCCATAAAGTAACTTGGACTCAAAACGCATACACATATTAAAAAATGGGAATAATTTTTAAAAAAACCATTACTCAAATTGTTATTATTTGCTGCCGTATTAGTTTTTTAAAGTAAAATTTAATCTTCAATATGAAGCCGAAAACACATCTTTATTTAAAATGGTTGAATATTTTATGTCTGCAAGTTTTATTTCATAAATATGTTTATGTTTCTGGAAAAGGAATAACTATCCTTACTTTTCTGGAAAAGTAATAAATATGTTTGTGACTTTCCCCCGATTCGTTAGAAAAAAATACACCTTATTTTAAAGATACTGAAATAGATTAATTAAAATATTCATAGCATGTTTTAAATTCCTCGTAAACAGCAATCGACAGAAATTTAGAAATAACAACTCAAATGAATAATAAATTATTCAACCATCAATTCTAAAACAATATATGTTTGAAATATTTATGCTTTAGAATTTGATCAACTGAAACAGATATAAGTACAAAAGATGATATAAGTACAAAAAGTAAAGATTTTCAATAAAAAAAAAATAGGTGGGGCACTCTGAGAAAGACGAAAGAATGTTTTAAAAACTTCAAAAGATGCTTTTTTAGTCTTCCATTAATGCGTTGAGTTTAGAAAATATAGAAAGAAAGATGTTGCCAGTCTCAAAACGTGAAATTCAAACCAAATGTAAGGAAAGGAAAATAATAGTTAAAAAAATGAAAAAGTAAAAGACACGGGTTGAAAAAATATGGAAAATGTATTTAAGAAAAAAGAATTTATTAGGAACATTATTAATACTCACACTTTTAGAATTTTCTTGGAGTAATGTTAAATAACATTTATTTAATTGTTATTTTGACATATTTAAACAAAACAGTCAAATAATTACAAATAATAAGATGGCATCCAAACTGTAAGAGAAAAACAACAA